TTTCGCTAGCGACAGGTATAACGATACACATATCGATATAATATCGATAGATATTCTGCAAACACTGTATCGATACGATCTTTGCGTATCGTTTTTAAAAACAAAGAATTTCCGAAAGTAGGAAATTTTTTTATCTAAGAAGCCTTCACGAAAGTACCTCATAACTGACATTTTATGAAAATGCGTTTTTAATGTTGTGCACAAGGTCTGTTCTATCTCGTTTCGCGCATAATAAAACTCACGAAGCTAAAGGGTTTTCCATTTAAAGCGTCATAACTTTAACCCTAAAAATAAGGCTGCTCTGGAATGTAAATGTCAAATCTTGACAACACATGTGTTCAGTACATTGTGTCAAATTAATATGGACAGATAACAATTTAACAGCGCTTAGAAATAATTCGTATTTACCATCAAAATGCATGTTCGGTTTGCCAAACATTTTGCAAGTTGCGAGAAATATAAGGTTTATCGTTTAAGAAAAAACTGGTTTACTGGCAAATAAGTCAACTTTTGTGCATCTAAAGGATCATGTGAAATCTCAGGTTTACAAAAATAAGCCACGAACAATTCTCGACCTTAAACGAAACATTAAACGCACTATTCAAAGTATACCACGCGATATTTGTAAAAGAATAGTAGAAATTAGGCCTTCATAATGCATTCAGTCAGGCAAAGTCGAGGGGGACATTTAAACGATATTATATTTAAAACATAATGTCATCGATCGTTCTTCAAAATAAAATATAGATTACGGGATTATTTTTTTATCTCATTTAAAAGTTCTGACGCTCTAAATGAAAAACCCTTTATAACTATAGGCAACCCACTGCACAGACTCCAACGGCGGCCATTTTTATGTTGTTTACAAGAATTATTTTTGTGCTTTGGGTTTGTGTTGTTTATACATAATAAAAATTGTTTTAAACGTTGTGTTTTTTACAGAGCCTTGTGAGCCCCAAATGAGGCCTCAAAGTGCTGAGGACAACTATCTTACTCCTACTTTTGTAAAAAATAAAGCTTATTCTATTAGATCTGTCATCAGACTGTATAATGTCAATTTTAAGGTTTATTTACCATAACCCACAAATCAACCTTAAAATTGACATTTGACAGTTTGATAGCCCTGATAGAGTAAGGTTTATTTTTTACAAAATAGGAGTAAAACGCATGTTCCAGCAAAGCCGTGGAGGCTATTTGCCTAATGTGTTATTCCATAAATAACCCTATCCTATGTACTTTGTGAATCGATAAAAAAATAACAATCTAAAGGCTAAAAACTGTGTTTTCTATTTAATTCAAATATTGCGTTACTTTTGAGTTTATTTTATATTTTGCCCAACTTTTTGAAATATGCGGAAAAATATCTATATTATCAATATTATTTTTTTTTGTATTGATACTGTATCGATAGGCCCTCTGTATTGTTATACCTGTCTCAATGTGTATCGTTATACCTGTCGCAATGCGATAACCCGATACTTTAGCGTATAGTTGCACATCAATAATTTTAATAATATTTATTAGTAATAAATTATTACAAACTGTTTAAAAACAACAATAAACAAAGCATCCATAAAAGAAACAAAGCTAAACTAACCTACAAACATTCAACGTCACTTTTGTGTGATTGGCGCATGCGTGCGTTCATTGCTCCCATTGGCAGATAGTACAGGAGATGTTAATGGTAATGGTAAAATGCAGACATTTTTTGGATGTTAACCACAACCATTAATATCACCATTACCATTATTGTGAAAGGATACACGCATTTTTCTATGCTTTGGATATTAACATTAACACTTTTGTGACAGACCCATAATCGTTTTTAATGACATATTCAAAGCTTTAACTTTTCAATTTTTGATTGAATGTTTATGAAATTATAGCACTTTTCTGCTTATTGTTTTGGGACTGTCTACAGTTCCTACCAGTAGGAACTTAAGTCTTCAAGACTAAAGTTCCTACTGGTCGGAACTGCAGCCACTGAGTCAAAAGTTAACTAGTAAGTAAGTAAGTAATTACTACCAGTCGGAAATTCTGTTATGGACGCCAAAGTTACTACCACCTGTTTAGATTAGAAATGGCCTATTTGGGAAATACCTAATGTTCAAATCTTTACTTGTTCTGCACAAAAAAAACCATTTTATAAAAATCTTTGGAAAACTTATTTTATTACAATAATGTTTAATCATTGAGTAAAGTATTACTTAATGGTCTAATATTATATACAATGCGTTATAAATGAAAAATTGAATCAAACATATTTTTTCATTATTGTATATAAAGAAGTTTTACTAATCTTATAAGAAAGAGTATTTCTATAATAACTATAGTTTTGGTATCTTTGCTAAAAGGCTTAAATTCAAAATATATATTAAACAACAAACATTTATTTAGTAAAAACAAAAATAAAATGTAACTTCTCCGGAACTATCTCCGGAACCATTTATCGTACAAAAAACAGCTTTTTTAAGCATTTTCTACTCATAATAAGCTATGTTTTGTGCCAGAAAATTTTTATTTTTACTTATAATTGGTGGAGATTTTGAAGGGGTAGCGGGTGTTTTTCTCCTCAACTTCTACGCCCCTGAAAAAATACGGTTTTAAGAGGCCCATTCCATCCGCCAATGTTTTCTACACAAAAAAGGTACTCTTTGTCATAAGCTCTACAATTGACCGTTTTCAGAAAAAATCAACTTTTATGTTTAAAAACATGGTCAATTTAAAAAAAAAATTATTTTTTACTAATAAAACAAAATTTATTTTAACCTTAGAACAAGTAACAAAACAAAAAGATAATTGCAAAAAAAAATAAAAAATAATTCAAAAGTTGTCTTTGCGTGCATTGAAGATAACGGTGGACATTTCCAACATTTAATTTAACTTTTGAATTATTTTTTATTTTTTTTTTAATTTTGCAATTATCGTTTGGTTTTGTTACTTGTTCTAACGTTAAAATAAATTTTGTTTAATTGGTAAAAAATATATTTTTTTTAAATTGACCATGTTTTTAAACATAAAAGTTGTTTTTTCTTGAAAACGGTCAATTTTAGAGCTTATGACAAAGAGTACCTTTTTTGTGTAGAAAACATTGGCGGATGGAATGGGCCTCTCAAAACCGTACTTTTTTCAGGGGCGTAGAAGTTGAGGAGAAAAACACCCGCTACCCCTTCAAAATCTCCACCAATTATAAGTAAAAATAAAAATTTTCTGGCACAAAACATAGCTTATTATGAGTAGAAAATACTTAAAAAAGCTGTTTTTTGTACGATAAATGGTTCCGGAGATAGTTCCGGAGAAGTTACATTTTATTTTTGTTTTTACTAAATAAATGTTTGTTGTTTAATATATATTTTGAATTTTAGCCTTTTAGCAAAGATACCAAAACTATAGTTATTATAGAAATACTCTCTCTTATAAGATTAGTAAAACTTCTTTATATACAATAATGAAAAAATATGTTTGATTCAATTTTTCATTTATAACGCATTGTATATAATATTAGACCATTAAGTAATACTTTACTCAATGATTAAACATTATTGTAATAAAATAAGTTTTCCAAAGATTTTTATAAAATGGTTTTTTTGTGCAGAACAAGTAAAGATTTGAACATTAGGTATTTCCCAAATAGGCCATTTCTAATCTAAACAGGTGGTAGTAACTTTGGCGTCCATAACAGAATTTCCTACTGGTAGTAACTTTTGACTCAGTGGCTGCAGTTCCGACCAGTAGGAACTTTAGTCTTAAAGACTTAAGTTCCTACTGGTAGGAACTGTAGACAGTCCCTATTGTTTTTTATTTTAAAAACCCGACTAGTTTCGGTTATTACTAACCATCTTCAGTCTCTACAATAGTAAAATACACTTATTATTGAACAACATATTAAAATCATGGTTAAAATTACACGTCAAAATTTCTTTAAAATACACAGATTAACAAATACATATAAAAATTGATTTAAAACTTGTGCATGTTTATCAATTTCCATTGCTTCTAATAAGGTTAGTTTGAAGTTTTTATCTTGAATATGTAGGATTTTTTTTTCACTTTTTCGTAAGAAAAATTGACATCCGTGGAGAATTCTCTAAAGATTTTTACCTACCATGATAATAAGTTAATTAATAACATTTATTTGTTGGAAAGAAAATCTCTTGTGGAAATTTTTTTCTGAAAAAGTTTTAATAAGTAATAGTAAGAGTTTTAAAAGTCTTACTTTCTCTTAAAAACTCTTATTAAGACTTATTAAGTCAGAATAAGATTTATTAAGTCGGAAAAAGTCTGAATAAGTCTTAGTAAGTCAGACTAATAGCGAGATTTGGGAGTCTCCCGGAAGTGTTAATAAGGCTTAATAAGACTTTTTGCAGAGAAATGGTAGGTATACCTATTGCCGCTATAGCCCTATAGTATAGCGATTAAAATAAATATCCGGAATTATTCAGAGATGTTGTATTTGGTTATTTTAAAAGAAAACACAAAGAAAAGTATTTATAAACACTGTTTTTGTGTGGTTATAAGGCTTATAAAAACACGAAAGCAATGTTTACAATATGTAAGCAACGTTTACTACAATTTATTACATTAACACAGTCAATTTTATTTGAGATTCCGACATCTGACCACTGTCAAGCGGTTTTAACCTCACTTTTTTCCAATTTTATGCACCAGTGCACAATCTACACAACAAGGTCTATTATATCTCGTTTCGCGCATACTAAAAATCATGAAGTTAGGCAACCCACCTAAAGGTTTTATTATAATTGCTTTTTATAATGCGCAAAACGAGATAGAACAGACCTGGTTGTGTGGATTGTGCCCTAGTGTATTTAATTTGCTTATGTTTTAGTTTTATTTTTGGTTTCATTGTTTTTTTTAAATTACCTCAAAAAAGATTGTCGGGTAAAATTAATCAAATATTAATATAATTAATAATTAATTTCCAAAACCAAAACACTCATTTATCAAGTTTCAAAAAATATAAATGTTTTTAAATATTTTAGGGCACTTTTTATAACAGTGTTTAAGCACCTAGTATTTGTGGGTGGTAGAGCTTGTTGTCGCACTTCGTTGGAATTCTGCAAACTGCTACTTTTACTCGACCCAGACACCGACCCAGTCGGAGTTAAATTAGTCATAGACTACTACGCTTTGCGTGCAAGGGAGCACCAATGGCTCATCGATTTTGTAGCTGAATGGGACAGCACCAAACACTTACTTCAGCTGCCGAACTTTGCCTATTCGTTGGCACTCGCGCACTTTTACATTGGCGACACCGGCAGAGCGGACAGTCTTCTTCAAGAAGCCTTGCTCATGTTCCCTGGTGTTCTAATCCCCCTTTTGGAGAAATGCTCGGTTCAAATCGACAACAGGGTATCCAACCACCCTTTTTTCTCGAACATTACCGATAAAAAGCAGCCTGCTTCGTTGAACACGCTGATCGCGCTTTACGTAAACAGAAGTTTCCACATTTGGAAAGATAGCGATTTGTTGCCATGGATGGAGAAAAACGTACATGAAGCCTTAGACAGATTTGAAAGAATGGATCCAGTTGTTGCTGATAATGAGCTTAAGAGAAATAAATTGTTTGCGGGGCCATTACCGCGAAGCATTTCCAGGCATATAATATTGTCTGACATTAAGGGTGTTTCGCCAGTTACTGATGTAAGAATAAAACTAGGACAAGCTTGACAAGGAAATAATTTAAAATTCTACTATGCCTTTAATAAAATTTATTTTAGTAACCCAGAAGTATCTAGCTGAAAAAAGGTTAAATACAAATTTACTCTCATATTTTATTGCTGGTTTTCTTAAATAAATCATTTGGATTTAAACGTTTTTGACTTTTAAGAACAAGAAAGATTTTAAATCATGTTTCGGATATTCCGTCATATGACAAATAAATGAACAACAAATAGTTCAGTCTGCAAAGGTTTATAAACATGTTGTAATAAAACAAATCAGGGTGATATTAAACACAGCAAAGTCCAATATTTTTATTAGCAAATTCCATCACATTTATCAAAATTTTCGTAAAAATACGAGTCTGAAATGATTAAAAATATGTTCAGCTCGGCTACTACGAGCGACTCGGGAGCTGGCGGGGGGGGGAATCGAACCCGCAAGAAGTGGAGGGGAAAATAGAAAGGCCTAATTATAAGGCTCGCGTGAGTTTTCAGGCGCGTACATAAAATGTACTCGCGAATCTGTTCGATCAAGTTGGATTATTATATTTCCTTATCTCCTCATTTATAATATTTATTTTAATTTTCTTTCTCGTTCCGATATTATTTTTTAATTTAAAAATAATAATGACTCTGAAAATTACAAATCGATATTTTCATTTCTAAAGGTCGCTCAAGATTTTTTTAACTTTCAAAGTAGAGTATTTTGAATGTTTTTAAGCGACCTCTGAATATAAATATCAATGAACTTTTAGCGACCTTTAGAAATCAAAATATTGATTTGAAATTTACAGAATTTTTATTATTTTCAACCAAAAAAATAATATCGAGACGAGAAAAAAAATTAAAATAAAACAAAAATTCAATTTTTGACGATTTTGAAAATTTTAAAAAATCTTGAGCGACCCCTAAAAAAATTTTAATTGAGCTGATATTTTGACAGGGCTCTTACAGCATGATAAACTAACATATTTTTACTAGAGACGAGAAAAAAAATATTCTTTTTTTTGGGCCACCGTAATATATATATACTAGGGTGAGCCAAAAAAACTAACCTATCGGATTTTTGGGTTAAAATGAACCTACATACCGAGCAAAAAATTTTGCCTTGCAGGGAAATTTCCCTGCAAGGCAAAATTTTTTGCTCAATTTTAAAAGGTGTCGGTGAGCATTCTAAATTTTCCATTGAAATAACACTTAAAAAAATCTTTTTTCATTAAAAAGACTATAACTTTTGAACCGTTTGAGATAAAATTTTTTACGTCGCGGATTCTTGTAGAGCATAAAATTTCCCAAAGAATCTATACCATGATTTTTTTTTTTAATTCAAAAATTCGTATGTTTGAAAGCTTTGAAAAGTGTAAAAAATCACTAAAACTGCAGTTTGTTATTTCAATGGAAAACTTAGAATGCTCACCGACACCATTTAAAATTGAGCAAAAAATTTTGCCTTGCAGGGAAATTTTTTGCTCGGTATGTAGGTTTATTTTAACCCATAAATCCGATAGGTTAGTTTTTTTGGCTCACCCTAATATATACAGTATGTCTCAAATTAATATTTTTTGACATACCTCGTATACGACTAAAAAAAAATAATATTTGTGGGTTGCATTTTAAGTTTTACACTATGCAGAACTTTTTATGAGGAATAACTTTTTTTCCTAAAATTAATAATAAAAAAGTTTTCCATATGATTCCAAGATACTGAGACATACTGTATATATATATATATATATTTGTTTTAATCTATATAGGTACACTAAAATTATTTTTTTTTTCTGCTGTTCTGTGAGACTGACAGACAATGCACAGATCAAACTGCTGGGTTTAGGCTGAAATTCTAACTATGCATTCCTATAATAACATTTATAACCTCTAAGTAGGTAATTTTTTTCCATTCCAGAGTGGATAAACTGGGACACAAAATTTGCGTTAAAAATCGTATTCCCTAAAACAGAGCAACGGATAGACGTGATTTTTTGCATAGAGATAGTTTTTAGGCCGGAAAGTAATATAGGCTAATTTTTTGTTTGATTCTTTTAAATTTTTTCGATTTTTTTGTAATAATTTTAATAGTAATTAAATTAGCAAAATGTTTTTTCTAAGAAGTTTAATCAGTAACTTCCAATTTTGACTTTAGATTCGTGCGGGAAAAAATACAATAAATAAGTATGGTTTGTTTCTTAGCACACACAACTCTTATATTTTGTGGGCGCGTGTTATTTATAATTATTATTGATCAATTAATTAATTTAATTAAATGTAGTCGAAATAACTTTAACCAGTGGCGGCTGGTGGATTTTGGGTATACCAATATTTCAGTTATTAGACATGGCACCCACACCAATTTATAATGACATTAAATAAACAAGCAAACATAATTTAAATTGAAGTTTGCGAAAAAAAACTTGGTTTTTCGTGTTGCCTCACCCGCCTCCTTGCCCCCTGGCCCGAGGCCAGAGAATAAATTCAAATAATTTTTTCTGAAAATTCAGAAAATTGAAAAAAAATCCAATTCGTACTAAGAATAAATTACCTGGGATAATACGTTAAAAACCCAAGGCAAATTATTGTAAATTTGCAAATTTTTACGTTATTTTTTCGCCGGCTCAATTTTTTCCAGAAATTGAAAAAAACTATTTACAAGCGATCTATCGCCTTATGGCAATAGCCTAGTAATAGGGACGAATTTTGTTTATCATAAGAATAACACGCAGTTTAAACGACATCGTGCCTTAGGGGGCATCCATTAATTACCTGAGGGGTTTTGGGGGGAGGGGGTCGAGCCAAACCTCACCCAATCTCACGTGTGGGGGAGGGTGGTCTCGGCAAATATCAAGAAACAGTGTAAAATTGCTGGGTTACGTTAAGTGAAAAATTATAAGAAATTTTTTTAAAAATAAATCTAATGGAATCAACCACAGATTATTTATTAAAACTATGCATTTTAAAAAATCTCACGTAAGGTTAAGGGAGGGGGAGAGGGTCGACCAAAATCTCACGACATCTCACCAAGGGGAGGGGGTTTCGAAAAATCGCCAAAATTAAATCACATAATTTAGATTGCCGGTCTTGCCGGGTGGGGAGTAGCGGGATCCTTTTCTTCCATACCGTTCACCTCTAGCTCGCGAGCCTCTGACAGTTTATCCCTGTAAGGGAATACTTTAACAGCGTATTTTTAAATTTCTGAAAATGTTACTCAAATGGACTTCGCCGGGTTTGATATTAGATCCTTGAAATATGAACGTATCTTTTCATTTCCGGACACTTGCAAGTGTATTAAAAGGATAAAGTTATACTGAAAAAATCGAATGCCTCTTTTTCTTACTATTAAAATTTAAAAAAAAATGTAAAGACCTTAAATGCTAAACTTGTATATACATAATATGGGTTTAATCAAACTATATTAAATCTAATGAATATAATACTCAATTACTTCAACTAGCAGTTAAACCTCATATGATGTATTTAACACATAAGCTCCACAGAGGAAAATTCAATTCCCATAAAAATTGGTAAAATAGTTTGTCTTTTAAAATATATTATTGGCATAGAAGAACTAAATAATTTCTTTAATATATCTGTTAGAGAGGATTTAATATGTAATATATTTTAATATATACCTACATAATATGTATTTTTAAATCGAAAAACTTTTGAACTGGCTAGATTTTTGGTTTTAGTATTCCTGATGGTCTAAAATGTGGAATGCCAATTTTCCGTGGTTTCCCTCCGGCTCTTCCTCTCGATTTTTAAAAGAAAATAAAATGAACCTTTTTTCTCGTTTTCTATTGGTTTCGTTAACTTTGGCCCTCTAACTTTTTAGGAAATGATTGCAGAACGATTTGCCTATAAAAATTATTTTGAAACAAGATAAAACAATTTAAAACTTTTTTAAAAGAGGGTAACACGAATATTTTACCCTGAAGACTACCAGGAGTAATATATCCAAAATTAAGCCAGTTCGGATTTTTTTCGATGTATCCCCTGATTTTTTGACAGATTGACACAGTCAATTTGACTGTACTAATATATCTTTTAGGATACAAGTGGACCATTGATGAGTTTTGATCCTCTACCTCCAAAAGACTCGATTAATTTATACACTAAGCCTAGAAGACCAACTCTACTTGGAAATACTTCCACTAATCCTTTAAGCATATTTTTTAGATCACTTTTACCCAATTTTACCAACAACATTCCTCAAAATTTACTTGAACAGTTAAGTATTGTTTATCTATAATAGTTATTTAATGATATAAGTGTCATTTCATTCTGTAAGTAGAAAAATTGGATTACAAATATAATTCTTTGTGGCATAAACTTTATGTTCAGCATGGCCTTCAATATAGAATGATTTGACCAGAGCGTTGGCGATTTCCATATTTTTGACTTTTCTTCAAAGTATGCCAAAAGCACTTTTTCACTGAACTTGTCACCAACATTTTCTAGATTACACCATCTTAAGAAACGATTGTAAAAAACTTACTAGATTTTAAAATATTTAGTTTAATAAGTTTAATACTTTTTACTTTACTTACTTACTTTTTATAGTGTTTGTAGAAGAAACAGTGAATGATGTGTTAAAATTGATTTTATTTTGTTCAAAATAAATTGTCAATTTTAGCACTAATATCATATATACCAATTATTTTTAGGGGTTTGGAAAATGATGAGGCAAGAGCATTACCAGAAGGTGGGGAGATGCAAAATGAGAGTACAGGCGAAATGATGAGGAGTGTTGTTTCCCTGGTGGATGCAATGAGGGATCTTTTAAATAACATAAGACCTAATGACGCTGACGTCGACGAAAACGACGATTCTGCTGACGATGACTTAACATAAATAAAACTAATTTTAACGTTTTACTTCCTTATTGTTAAATATATGATTATATTATGTAACTAAAATATAAAAAAGCTTTATATAATCTAACAATTTGTTTAATTTAATTACATTCCTTGGAAAATATAACAGAGCTTTGTGAGTGAAAATATCTATTAAGAAAAATATTTTATATAATTATTAAATAACTTGCAATTTTAACTAAAGTTCCTGCTGAAGGTAGAATTTCCATTTGAAGTTTCCATAGAATGTCTTCAAAATTTAATATATATATATATACACACATGTCCAAAAGTTTGGAATAATTACAAATAATATATCTAAAAAAACTGTTGTTAATATTTACTCTATTTTCTCTGTCTTTGAGGTTTATTTATTATTGGTCGGAGTCGTTATAAAATGGTATTTACCTATATAAAAAAAATATATATAAATATCAATAAAAAAAGAAATATTGCAATATTCCAAACTTTTGGACATATGTGTATGTATATTATATGAATTAATATATAAATCATGATTTTGTGAGGGATCAAAAAATAAGAAAATAATTTTTAAATTTATATTTTTTATATTTCAACATGATCCCATATTGTTTTTTGAGTTTGAAAATAAATATTTAAAATAATCTATTAAAAATCTGGGAAATAACAGTTTTGCACAAGGTCATTTTCCATAGATTTTGTTAAAAATTTGTTTCCTAAACAAAAGAGGATCATGTTAATGGCGTAGAAATTAATTATTATGAAAATTCCACACCTGTAATTTTTAACCAATCAAAACGTGTATTTTTGATAGATCACCATGGCAACGGTTGAATTTTAGTGGAAATTTTTTCCTCGTGTTTACCCAACAGCGAATTATACTGGAAATTTTTTTGACGTTTATAATGACAGAATATTTTTTTGACAATCCGGTTTTTATTTGTTTACATGATAATTTGTTTCTTACATGAAAACGTCGTAGTTGATTGGCATTTAAGTCACTTTGATAACGGATAAAAAAGAAGGTAACTTTTGCAAGTGGATAATTATTTATTTACCTCGTGTCATTTCATTTCCTTGACAACCTTGAAAATAATTATTTTTTAATAGCAGGTGTCAAAAAATCTTTTAAAATGAATCGTTTTGGTGTCGTTTTCGGCGAAAAACAATAAAGAACAAATTGTAAAAAGTATCCCAAATAAGTCTTTAATAATAAAGCGTCAATTTGGCGACAAAATATGGCATTTTGTAATGCGAGGATCTACAAACTACTCGACTCAATATCACAGCAAGATTTAGCAAATATTTTGCTTGATTGGGCATGCAATATGAAAAAAATTAATCACAAAATTATCTCGTCGAATTACACTCGAGCTTTTTTTTTTGGCAGGATAAATTTATGTTTTCTAACTTTCAAACTTGTTACCTTTCAGCAATTTGACTCGAAAAAATGTCATCTGACAAAATCGCTCGACCTACGGTCTCGCAATTTTGATTGATGACATTTTTTCTTGTCAAATTGCTAGGTAACAAGCTTTTAAGAAAAACAAAAATTTATCCGGCTAAAAATAAGCTCTTGTGTAATTATAGTCGATAATTTTGATACATTTCCATTACAAAGTTTAGATGTTTTCTATATTCGTTGGACACCTCCTTTCTTCTTAATGGCGAAAATGCAGGACTTGAAATAAATTAAATGTCTATGTCTAATGAATATTTTTAGAAAATTATCCCTCGTCTTCGACTCGGGATAATTTTCAAAATATTCATGAGCTCGAAAAAATTTCCGGAAATAATTTGACCTCTAGTGGTATTACTAGTGAAAATTCCACACCTGTAATTTTTAACCAATCAAAACGTGTATTTTTGATAGATCACCATGGCAACAGTTGAATTTTAGTGGAAATTTTTCCTCGTGGGTACCCAACAGTGAATTATACTGGAAATTTTTTTGACGTTTATAATGACAGAATATTTTTTGACAATCTGGTTTTTATTTGTTTACATGATAATTTTGATACATTTCCATTACAAAGTTTAGATGTTTTCTATATTCGCTGGACACCTCCTTTCTTCTTAATGGCGAAAATGCAGGACTTGAAATAAATTAAATGTCTAGGTCTAATGAAATATATATAATATTTAGACACTATTCTATTCATCTTTTTTTCAATTTAGCACTTTGAGTTTTGAATAGTTAAGATGCAAATATTCGTGAACAATTCAAAACAAATTTTCTTTCTTCAAGTAGGAGCCACAATCCTCTAATAATGCGGGTAAATAAGTCATTGCACGATGATTGATCATTACAGCAGACAATTTCACATTTTTTTACGTCGTGCCGCTTGACAGCTTCAAAACTGAAATAACTTTTAGGTTGGGGTTGACTTAGTTGCCATGGTAACTAAATAATCAAGTCGAGGTCAAGTTAAATCAAAAAATAAATTTTAATTATTTAAACACAATTTGGTGTGGAATTTTCTTACCGAATACCACACGAGGTCAAATTAAATCCGGAAATTTTTTCTCCCTCATGAATATTTTTAGAAAATTATCCCTCGTCTTCGACTCGAGATAATTTTCAAAATATTCATGAGCTCGAAAAAATTTCCGGAAATAATTTGACCTCTAGTGGTATTACTAGTGAAAATAAATAAATATTTTTAGCAAAGTTTTATAATTTTTTTTAAATGTTTTCCTAAAAAACACACGGAGTATACCTACCTAAAAAACAAAATCCATGTAGTATGTTCTTCTTATAACGTAAAACGTCTTTAACAGCGCAACTTTTTTCGTAAGATGCTTTAGATTGTATGTTTGTAGGTATATTGAAATGTATAAATATTTGTTATTTTTACCAATAATTAAATAAAATAATAAAAGAACTGATTCAGAACCAACAAAAAAATACTACACTAGGGTGGCACGTTTGTAACGTTAGACATGGGCCCATGTGATGGGCATATGCCCGTATCATATGATACGCATATCAATATAATATCGATACATATTCTGCAATTGAGGGTCCCGGTGCAAGAACCGGGTATCTCCATATTCGAAAAAAATGTTCAGGAGAAAAGAAAAACCTTTGCACAGTATAATTTCTGCGGTATCTCCTGTATCTGATATATTTAGTTAACGCTAACGCGGATCTACACGGTTTTTGCACCGAACGATGCGGACTACTGAAGGGTGTATCTTCATATACCTAACTCAATTTAGCAAAAATATGGAGATACCCGGTTCTTGCACCGAGCCCCTCAATTACTGTATCGATACGATCTTTGCGTATCATTATTTTTAAAACAAAGAATTTTGCAAAATAGGATTTTTTTCTAACAAGGCTTTACAGCAGTACCTCATAACTGACATTTTATGAAAATGCGTTTTTAATATTATGTAGAATAACTAGCACCATATATACAGGGTGTTTCTTTTAACTTGAGATAGCTCAATATCTCGAGAAATACGCATTTCATCCAAGTAAGGTTTAAAGAGCACTTGGCCCACACTAGATTTAGTAGGACAGAGAAATTGAGTGTTGCCCAACATAAACTTGATGATGTTCATAGAATAGGATTTGACAACCTTAAATTTATTAAGGAAGTTAGAGAACCAAGTCTGCTAGGTACTTATGAAAGTTTATACATCTATAACCCAGCAAACCAGGCTGTTCCATTTACATAACCATGATATAACTAACAAAGAACATTGCCATATAAAATTGTTTACATAACATTTACATATTAGTTATTTATTTTGTTACATAATTATGATAAAACATAGTAATATAACATTTATATAAATATGTTCCCCTCTTGTTATATTTACATCCCCCTTATGTATCAGCCATATAACAATGTTATATATCTACAATGGAACAATGATACATCATTGATATATGGCAATGTTTTATAGTATCCATATAACCTTATTATATGGTATTTACATAGTTTTTCTTTATTTTGTTACATAATTATAATAAAAAAATTTAATATAATAGTTATATCAAAATGATCCCTTCTTGTTATATTTACATCCCTATTATGTCATGGCTATATAACAATGTTTTATACCTACATTGTAACAATGATATATAAATGTTATATATTAATGTTTTATAGTATTTATATAGCCTTTTTATCTTACTAACGAACTCGTTTAAACGGTTGTGTCGAGTGCTCTCTATTGTGTTTTAAGTTAAGTTAAGTTTGATTCAATTTTTTCATAATAAAATGGAAGACAAAAATAAAAAAAAAATATATTTCCCTATCCCGGAGGCAAAAGCGGAGGAGAATTAATGCAGATCTCAAAATAATGGGCGTGGAGGTAAGAAATTGTATAGAAAATACCCAAGACAATGTGGAATATACCTACTGAGGCTAAAACCGAAGTATTATCTTTCCCTAACCAGCCAATAAATAATTAAACATATAATAAAAATATTTTTACAGAAAATTTGGGAGAATATTCAGGAGGTCATAGGAAAAATTCCCATACTTTTGTGGAAGATTTGCAAGATTTGTGTAATAGATACTTACCTAGTCAACTTTTTATTAATACTCTGTTAAAAGTTTTGAGAAAACATTATTGCAAAACGAAGTAGAGGCTGAATTTGTAAGTATATAAAGGGCGATTTTAAACCTGTTTAATAATGTTAATTTGTTTTTAAAACAGGGTGCTAAAAAACAAGCGACAAATTATAATTTAATGATATTTGGTAGCCAAAATAAGAGTTTAATTTCTATATTTTTTTTAACTTTATACTGTTTTTTCAACTGGTACTTAAAAGATACAATAATTTAGCTAAATAAACAAGATGGATACACTTTTTTATTATAATTGTTGTGACAATAAATTTTATGCAAATTCCATATTTTTCATTATTTTTATATCTCTTAAGGTTGCAGGGTGCATTTGACTTGAATAAATAAAATCAAACAAATTATTATTTGTACCAAATATCATTTACATAACTACATAAAGAATAGTTGTTCTTTGTTTTAAAAACAAATCAATAAACAAAAATAATATTAAATTGTATTTTTTTCAGTTTCAGTATATAACAAAAATTGGAGGCGTCTCAGAGAAAGATGCCACAGTAAGAGTTTTAAAGAAATTTAAATCTTCTCAAATAATTTGGCAAAAGATTGCTCTTGGCTGGGGCTAAGAAACAACAATAAAATTCAAAATTTAAAATCTGTTGAAATATTGAAGGGTAAAAATGTAAATTTTATGGGATTTTTTATTAAATAAATTTTTTTAAGCTGCTGTGTGCACTTCGACAGACAAAAATTTTGAAGGCATAGTTTCTGAATGGTTCCGGCAGGCCAAACAAAGATTTTGTATACCCTATAGGGAAGCAAAAAACCCATGAAAAGAAGGTATATTAATATTAAACTCATGGGATTGCTTTATCTTTTTTACCATATATTTTTTAGCTTTGAAGTATTACTGTATTTGGGATTTTTTTTTGTTTGGAAAAACTTTTCGTTTGTTTTAAGAAGTTAGAAAGAAGAAATGATTTGTTTTTTTTAATTAAAATAATTTTTAATAAACATTTAAACCAATTTGTTTTTTTTTAATCTCTTTCAGAATCATTTATTTTTGTAATGTTTACTTATTATTTATGTAATATTTATTTATAATTTATTTAATATATTATCTAACTGGCATTAACAATTTCTTAGTTCTAATTTGGTATTATGGCAATTTTAAAATTTTGTTGATTTTTATTCAAAAAATTTGCCATAATACCAAGTTAGGGCTAAGTAAATTTTAATACCAGTAAGATAATATATTACATGAAATTATATTTATAAATATTTCATAAATAATATGTAAATATTGCAAATAGAATATAATTGTTTTATCACGTTTACATAACTATGATATGGCGCTGTAACATTACAGTTACATATCTATGATAAAACACTGTTACATCACAGATACATACCCAGGAAGGGGTCTTGAGGCGGACATAGGAGCATCGCCATTACATATAGGTGACATAGCTGTTGCATAGTAAGGAACAATTTTTATGTAAATGTTATATCACTGTTACATAACTGATATGGCGCTGTAACATTACAGTTACATAACTATGATAAAACAGTGTTACATCACAGTTACATACCCAGGAAGGCGTCTTGAGGCGGACATAGGAGCATTGCCATTACATATAGGTGACATAGCTGTTGCATAGTAAGGAACAATTTTTATGTAAATGTTATATCACTGTGACATGATTTGGTTTGCTGGGAAGAATAGAAATAAATCTTTAAATATCGATAACTGACCGGTACCCAACTCTAGTTTGTATAAATTAGTTTGTTAGTTTCTCTTTACGTGTTCAGTGAAGCGGTTACGGTCCACGGTTTAGTAAACTGGGTCCGTTCACAATTTCGTCAACCTTAGCTTATAATTAGTATAAATATTTAGCAGTTAGTTACACTTTGCTTCTAAAGATGCCAACATCGTTGGCGAAAAGAACTTTTTGTTTTGTTTTGGTGTTGGGGAATAGTTGTTGAATATTTAAACATTTGGTTTTAATGACTAGTATAAAGACCCTGAAATAATATTTCACATGTAAAAATCTATACTATTGATTTAAGGTAATAAATTATTTATTTTAATCAGTATCTGTTAAACCAGTTTCTAAATAAACAAATATGCAAAACGTTGAAAATTTAAAAAACATAAAACTATTTACATGCATAACAAATATTGAAAATCAACCTTACAAAAACCATGTTTAAATAATACTCAGTTTAAGAAAATAAAATATTTTATTTTAAAAATAGGAATATTTAACATTGGCATCAAAAATATCCTATAGTAATCTTAATTTTAATTTAAATAATAATAATCCCGAACTTAGGACTAACCGGTCCACCGATGGCATCAGTGACATATTTAAACACGAAAAAACGAATGAAACTTAATTTAAGTAAATTAAATTGTATTGTTTTTTTAAGTTTGCCAGTGTGGACAATGATTATTTTTATTTAATTAAATAAATATGTATTCAAATTTAAATTAAGAAATATTCAATACTTTTTAAAGTATTCCATACATAGGGCTTTTTAACATCACTCTTTTATGTAAATGAAAACATTAATATAAATTATATAAAAAAAACAAAATCACATAAAACAGGTAAACAAAGTTTTAGTTCTAATACTCTTAATACTCTACCATTCTTAGTAAACAAAAATATCTGATTTCAAATGTAATAAAAAATTCAGTTAAACATATCAAGTATTAATTAATTAATTATGCTGAATCTTAGTGTATGTTGTTAATATCTTTAATGGCTTTTTAACCACATTCTTATGTTCTTTAAGGTCTTTAAGAAATACGCAGAATGTAACACATAGTTTAACAAAATTTTTTTGAATCATCACAGATATCTAAAACCAATATATTACGTAAATTTATTTAAAATAATATAATATTAAACTTACGTGTGTGTTTTGATTTAAATGTCAAATTTTCATATATACTTGTGAACAGATAAAGTATTAATTAATTAATTATGCTGAATCTTATACGTTGGTAATATCCTGAATGGTTTTTTTAACTATATCCCGATGTTCATTAAAGTCTTTAAGAAATACGCATAATTCAACGCATAGTATAACAAACTCGCTATATTCTTTTGAATCATCACAGATATCTAAAACCAATAAATTACGTTAATTGATTTAAAATAATAGGTATAATATTAAACTTACGTGCAAGTTTTTTTATAAACGTCAAAGTCTGATCTATAGTGTTTATAAAATGCTTGAGATATTTGTCCCTAAAAACAGCGGCCCAATACCTTTTGAAAATCTTAAGACACTTTACAAATGGCCAAGGTTGGTCTTCAGTGAGCATGTCCATTTTACTCCACACAGGACCGTAGCATTGCTTTACAGATTCAATTATAATGTAGGAGCACAGCATGCTCATTTTTGACATTACAGCTTGTACTTTGACAGCCTTATTTAATTTTGCCATTATCCTTATTATTACTTCGTTTTCTGATAATGCAGGGATATTGTGAATCATTGCTTTGTTTTTTAGATTTATATCGTTTGAAAATAAATACTAAAAATAAAAATATTTAAATACAGCATTTAAACAAAACAACCAAGGGGAATTTAATAATTACTAACAGGACCAACAGGAAGAACACAAAATGTTTTATGAAAATTTTTGAAGATGTGTTGTTCCTATAAAAATAATTTAGTGATAGTTCTCAGTAATAAAGCACGAAACATTAAATAACGCAAAGTATTCCACTATTGTGTTCTGTACAGACACGTGTCACTCCTGTCAGGTGGTGGTATTTTGAAAATACTGTTTTCTTCTGTTGTTTGTTATTTATTGCGTCTTAAGTGTTTTTGTAAGAAAAAAGAGACCATGCCAGTTATGTGTTGCACTTGTGAAAAAGTGTTTAGCACGCAGTATAATTTCCCAGTAAACATTTGTGATTGTGTATTGAAATCACTCCGAAATCCCGGTTTGACATCGTGATATCACTGGCGCATTCATATGTTTCCACAATACACAATCAATGGGATATCAAGTCGTGACATTCAAGCGCAATACGCACTTAATGGGATATCACTCCGTGACATAGCTAGTGCGCATGCGCGGGCGAAAGTGCAGGGGAATATTTAAAATATGTTGGAGCTGTGATAAACAAAAAAAGCGTCGTCGCTATCGTTAATACCGATGCAACGTCTTTTAAAACACGTTGCATCGCTAGTAACAATAGCGACGACCCTCTTGGGTGAAATAAAATTATGGGCTAAAATATTAACAGTCAACGTTTATTTAAATATAATAATAATAAGACAAGTTTTGCACACTACCTTTATACAGGTTGCATCAAGTATCCTATAAGTACCTACATGTATACAGGGTGTCGCAGATTTTAATTGGGAAAATTTAGTGATCTATAGAAATCGAAAATATCAGAAGAAAAGTATGTATGTTTTAAAGCTTCGTTTTCGAGAGACCGGGTGGTAAAGTTATTTAAAAAAATATTTATTTTTTGGGCGAATTTGATAAAAACCTTTTAGTTTTTAGTAGTGGGCAAAGGGCTTAATTTAATGTAAATTAAATTAAATCCAGAGGCGGCGCTAGAACATCCCTAATTGATATTTAAAAATAAAATTTGGGTATGCTACTGCTTTTTTGTAAGTTTATTATTATTTATAGATTAAAAATAAAACGGAAACGAATTTAATTTTTTTCTTTAAAATTAAACTTTAAAGCATATAAGTTCATACAAACGTTTCTTCTTATTTTTGCGAGTTCTGTTTACTATTAAATTAAAATGTATATTATTATATTAATTATACTTGTATGCTTTTATGGGTATTTTTTTTATTAAGGAGCTAAAACTACTTGTTATGACGATCGTCACTTGAAATAATTCTGGTATCGTCATCCTAATCGTATGACGTCGTCAATTTATTTTAATTATTGAACTCAAAATTTATATTGCAGCGAGTTTATTAACAGAATTATATATAAAATGCAATTATTTATAAATTGAAAAAAAGGCAGCTGTTCTCAAAACTTTTGAAAAAAACTAAGAGCCTTTTAAACCAAAAATCTTCATAGCTTTGTTATTCCTGGGAATTAAAAAAAAGTAAGTTTGACTTGTTAACATACACATTTATCTACATTTCATCCAATTTATTCGTTACTTTGAGTTACCATCACCATCTTTTGTTTTTAAAATGGCCATGGCGATGGTGCACCATTAACTTATAATTAATAAATCGATTTTTTTACTATCCAACTATGTAAAATTGTATTATGGCAGCCATAGCAAAACGATGGTGATAACTCAAAACCTAGTAGACAAAAAAATTTATAAATTGTTGTAATGTAGAAATGTATACATGCGAAACTTACTTTTTTTAATTCTCAGGAATAACAAAGTTGTAACAAATTTTGGTTTTAATATATTTTTTTTTCAATTATGTGAGAACCCCGGATTTATTTTCCAATTTTCAAATTCCATTTTAATAGACTTGTAATTACATAACTTTTCTTCAGTTTAATGGCTTAACCAACCTGCCGTGCACCCTGTATATGTATACATAAATATGTGTATACGAGACCCGTCGCATATAAGTTGGGACAGTGAATTCAATGGTTTCAGTAAATTCAGGTTTTCTCCCAGTTTTTTGTTTCTGGACAAAGTATGATATTTCTTATAGTAAAATTCCTATTGACATTTAAAAACCTACAAAAATATCTTTTCACTCTTGACAATCTTGACAATATTGATAACAGTTTTACACCTTAAATTTATTCCAGAGCAAATGGAGTATACAATATATTATATATTGTTCACCATGTATACCTTACTATAGCAAGATATATACATACATATGTACTTGGCTAAAATCGTTTGCAAAATCGCAAACAAATATAAAATGAAGTTATATATATAGATATATTTTTGCGTAAATAATTTCTTAAAACCATATGGTTAATATTAAAGAAAAATATTAAATATTAAAGAATACAGTCTTTGTCTAACAATAATAACACAATACGTATTTAACGTATTATGAACAAATTAAAGTAATGTCATTTAAATGAAAAGTTTCGTCCCTGCGGTGTCACGTCGTGACATAAAAAGATCACGTGCATGTCACTGCTTGACATAAAACGACAAACTTAATAACTGTGCCAGCAATTGGATATCAAGTTGTGACATGTCACGTCGTGACTTTTTCGTGATATCACAAATGTTTACTGGGTTAAAGAAACATTCTAAAAAAGTTCATCAAGCAATACCTATCGTAGTTGGGTGGGGTTACATCATATTATAATTACAACTTCACGATGTCTTTATCTATTTTTGGATAAACACGTGCTCAGCATGTCAAATTAGAAAAACAGTAAACAAATGCGCATGTGTTGGTTATGGAATTATTTGCGCTGTTTAATGTCTCGTCAATAAAACTATAAGAACTATCATAAAATTATTGTTATAGGAACTACATATCTCCAAAAATATTCATAAAACATTTTGTCTTCTTTCTTTTTGTCCCGTTAGTAATCATGGAATCGCCCCTTGGTTGTTTTTAAACAAAACAGAATGGAAAGTTAATCCAAATAAAGACCTTTAAAATTAGAAAAAGGAAAAAATTTATTATAATTTAAGACTAAAGCCCTCTAGCGTTTAAAGAAAGTATCTTTGGATCTAGTTAAGTTGGGTTTAACTGGAAAATCTAGTTGGACTTTGATTTACGAGTTTATTTTAGCATTTTTGACATTTCCTTTGGGAATTAATTTTAGCATTTATAATAATAATTTTTATCATAATTATTATAACAGTTACTAATATAACATTTGGAATTTTTTATGAGCTCGCTTTTTCACGCATGCGAAAGTCAAAATATGCTCATTATTTAATGTAAAGTTAAGGAAAGAAGTAATGTCCATTTGAATGCTCCATTGTAATTGTTCGGAGGCGTTCGGAAATAGTCAACATCTGCCCCTTAAAATTTATTTAAAAATATGTCTATATTTAGAATTTACTACCTTGAATTAATTATTTTGGGTATATTACATATTTAACTGTATTTTTATTAAATCGTTAATTTTTTTATATATTTTTGTATAGTTGTATAAACATTTATTCTATGAAAAAACTTTTAATAACAACTTTTTAGGCCAAAAATAATATTATCAAGTCGTAGTTTTTTAAAACTTTCTTTACATTTTTCAGAACTAGCAATGATTCAATACACTATTCTACATCAAAGAAGTAAAAACACATTTTATTATTTGTTGCACTTTTATGTTTTAAAAATAAAAAGATATATTTAAAAATTTTATATTTGGTATATTTTTAAATTAAATATACTATGATTTATCAAAAAATTTTTAATATAATTATAATGTAAAAGTTAACATACCTATAAAACTATAACATAAATATAAAAACTATAAAACATATAAACATAAATAGGTATAAAACTATAAAATATATATTATATAAATATTATAAAACTATAAAATATATACTGTATATGTCTTCATATTTATTTATTGCTCTTTTATTAGGTATGTGTAGATTAATGTGTATTTTTATTTGTGTGTATTTTTATTAAAATATTATTTAATTATTAGTCTTATACAAAAAAATCGAATATTTATTTTTAAAGTACCTCAAAAATATTGTTCAGAATCTCAAAAAAATGGTCCTGTTAAAATGCAAGTAAGCTCTTAATATTTATTACATTTACAGGTCCCTTATCGGGAATTTTTATTTCCCATTAAAATAATATGAGATTTTTTAAAATACTTTAAAATTGTATAACTCGTTAACGGATTAGTGGACCAATAAAACTAAAACAAATTTTGGTAGGGCTTTTTTAAAAGGTATTCAAGGTAAAAGTTGAATTTATAGAAATTTTCAAGATTTTTAAAGTTTTTCAGCGAAACAAAATTTATGGTAAAATTTAATAGGACCCTTTTTTAGGAAAATATTATGAAAATAATATAAAATAATAACCATGAGCAAAAAAAGCGGCCTTTTTATTTAAAAAGAAATGGTAAATAATTACATTAATAATTATATTTAAAGCATACTATTCCCAAAGGGTTTGGACCCAATTTGGTAAAATGTTAAATTATCATTTAAAAATAGTCTATGTGCCATGCAAAACGACTAAAAAATATTCTCCATATTAATTTTGAATTTTAAAGATGGATGGATTTTCATTGATTTCTAACTTTTTTGTGTAATACTATGTTTTTTCTACTCCAATTAAGTAATTTTCATTTATAATAAAATTTATTATAACCTCACTTTTCTCCGATTTTAAAATTAAATTAAATTTTATAGTCGCCCCTCGTATATTTAAATATATCTAACATCTGTCAACCTTACTTTTTTCTAATTTAAAACCCGATTTGTTCAAATAACAGTGAATATTGTAATAAGCCAATCACTGATGCCTAACAATTGTTAACGTTAACGTAAATAATGAGTTTATTATTCACGTTGATAGGCCGGGTGGTTATATTGGTTACCATTATTTACGAAAAAAAAACAAAAAATGTCAATAATATGCAATAGAAGTAGAGAAACGTATTAATAGTGCATTTCTTTTTATAAACACAAAATGCATTTTAGTTTAAAAATTTAATGGCTTTAATTTACATAGTAAGAATAAATATTTTAATTTAAATTGCTCAGGTTACAAAAATCACATAAACAGGTAAATACATTAAAGAGGGTTATTAACAATTTTATTTGCAAAATTATGCAAAAGTTTATAATTATTTTAGTATTAAATGTCTATATGTCATTTAAATATATTATTTTATTAATAACAACTTATTAAATAATATATAGTCTATTTAATAAGTTATAGAACATATATTTTATTTAAATGATTTCAAAATCAATGTTATTCCTTAAATATTTAATTATTGCATAAAATCTTAAAAGTCAAATGAAATGTGCGTAGAAAGAATGATAAATAGCAGGTAGGTAGAATTATTGAGTTTAAAAATAGATATGTTAATTTTATTAGCAAAACCCGAATGCCTCCGAACAATTACAATGGAGCATTCAATTGGACATTACTTTTTTCCGTAACTGTACAACCTTCCACACATCAAAGCCCAACCACATGACTTTGATAGAAATAATTTTCTGTCAGTATCAAGCTTATTTAGTCTTATTTTCTAAAAATAATACATTAAATGTATTTTTCTACAACCAAGCAAAAAGTACAAATTTGCGCTTCCAAAAGAAACGTCAAATTTGAAGTTATTAATAATTATTAATTTTTACCAAACATTCTTATAGAAACACCGGTTGTAGAAAAAATCCTGTGTGTAATTTGAGCGCAAAGTAAAAATTCCCCTCTCGCGAGATAGCTCAGAGCGGCAATGTATCAATTTGCGCTCTAAATACACAAATAGCTATTTTGTGTTCTAAATTAAGACCCCCGGACAACATTCGTGATATTCATACGAACATCACGTCGTGATTTTCACAAATTTTATTCATACTGATATAGTCACCGCGTAATAAATGAAAATCATACGAACGTCACGTCGCGTCGTCATTTTCACAAATTTTATTCATACGGACATCATCCGGATGTCACTGTGTGAGAAATGAAAATCATGTCGTGATTTTTTATGCCATTGCTGTTTGCGATTGACCGATGGCACAAAAAATCATGTCGTGATTTTTTATGCCAACGGTGTTTGGATAATCATTTTTGCGCCACGTTCGTACACTAAGATAAAAATTATGTTTTTGTGGTTAAATACATTTAATATATTCTTGGATTTAAATTAACTATATATAGTTAATTTAAATCCAAGAAAATATTAAATGTTAAACTGTTGTTTCAATTGTTAACATACTTTTTCTTTGAATGTACGAATGTGTCGCAAAAATGAATATACAAACACCGATAGCATAAAAAATCATGTCGTGATTTTTTATGACCAAACACCGATGGCATAAAAAATCATGTCGTGATTTTTTATGCCATCGGTGTTTGGATATTTATTTTTGCGCCACATTCGTACATTGAGAGAAAAAGTATACCTGCATATATATTGAATCAACAGTTTTTGGGGTTAAATACATTTAATATTTTTTTGGAATTAAATTAATAGTTAATTTACATCCAAGAAACTATTAAATGTATTTAACCGCAAAAACTGTTAATTCAATTGTTAACATACATTTCCCCACAATGTACGAATGTGGCGCAAAAATAAATATTCAAACATGTCGGTGCACCGATGGCATAAAAAATCATGTCGTGATTTTTTATGCCCAAACACCGATAGCATAAATATATATGTATATACATATATGTTGAATCAACAGTTTTTCTGGTTAAATATATTTATGTATACATTCAATCTTTCCTTCAATTAAATTAACTATAGTTAATTAATTATTACAATACAATGTTTAACAAAACGTTCACGTTTTGTTAAACATTGGAATATCATTTTTAATTGAACCCGGGCAACATTCGTGATATTCACACGTTTTATAAATTATAACGGTGTAATGTGAATAACAAACTAGGTTTTAAATTCGCTGTACGCAGGGCTCATACGCATGCGCAAATTTTGGAAAAATCACACCGTGAGTTCTACATGATATCACTGTGATGAAGCACTGATACAAAAAATCACGTTGTTATATCATCATGACTTCACCAGGAAATCCAGATTGTTTTCCGGGCCTGTATACACAAAAAATACATTATTTTCAGAAAATTGTACGAAATTAGCTTGACACCCACAGAAAATTCACCTTAATTATTTTTATCAAATTCACGTGGTGGGACTTTGATGTGTGAGCATAGTACACTAAGTACTTCCAAATGTTATTGAAACTTACCACATTTTCATATGTTTCTAATGCTTGTAAACAGCTAGACATAATTTTATCATCTGGAGCCTTTCCCATTTCTTTTTGTTTATCTACATCAAATACATTTTGGCCTTTAAAAAATATTTAATTAATATTAATAAAATTCTAAAAAAACTCTACTTACAATGCAATCTTGGATGTTTCCTTTTAAGAATTTCGTGTATAAACTTAGTAGCATAAAAAGCACTTTTTTTTGCATTTTGATCATGTGAACAATCTTTTATATTGTCTAGTTCATTTACAACCATCCATGGGATGTATACTATGGGAATTGTAGCACCTAGAAAGTTAAGTGGTTAAACAAATAGAAAAGCATTAAATAACATATTTTTTCGACGACTACATTAAAAAAACTACTTATTATTTCACAAGTAACTGACTTTTCATTTTACAATAGTTACTTCATTTTACAACTGCTGTTATTAAAAAAAAGTAGATTTATGCATCAAAATATTGATTATGTTAAGTGTAATTTTAGTTTGAATTAAACCTTAATGTGAGATTTTAGTGTTTTGTTTTAAAGTTTGACTTTGTATTGGTCCGTCTTACATATAAAAGATGCGATTTTTTGTATCAAAAATTAAAGCGTTGTTGTATACAGGTTGTTTCAATAAAAACTCCCAGACCAATTATTTCGAAAACTAAAAGTGATATTTAAATTCTGTAAACGTCAGTTTTTAGCCTCTATGATTGGCTTCACAACTGTGTAAAAAATGTTTTTGAATAATACAAGATGTAGGTGGCGCCACTGTGCAAATTTTTTTTCGATGACAGATACTTTTAAATTAATTTTTGATCAAATTATGTCCCATAAAAAATTTTGATAAATCCAACATGAACGGAGATATTTGGAGTTAAGTTTTTTTAAATAATTTTAAGGAATATTTTAATTATAAATATTTTTAATATCATTTAGTAGATGTTCATTTACTTCTGGTAATGATAATTTTAGTGATAGAACGCTCGTGTAGCGCTAACTAGATTAAAATTATTACGTCCAGTGACGTCTCAGGGGCCCCTTAACAAATAATATTTGTAAAAAATAATACGCCACTGAGTTTCTGGTAATTTTTATATTTTTAGTTATGCAACTAAAAATATCCTTATTTTGTCTGTTGAATTGTTTTCATATCTTGCTTCGTCGAGAAATAAAACGATTTCACTGCATTTCTTTGGAAAACAATAATCATTTAATAAAAACAAATGAATGTTAGAAACATCAAGTAAATTTTTCTTCACTTCACTCAGTGTCGGTGTAAGAATTTGCAATGTCTACATTTCTAAAATAAAAATGGTTCACCATACAAATCAAGACAAATTAAACATACATTAATGTACAATTGTTTTAGTTTATGTAGAATGGCATCAAAATGCTTCAGAAGCTGTGCACTGCTATCGAGACCAACGCCCGATCGAAAATCTTTTGTAGGTTTGTGTTCCAACTTAGCTACATATGGTAGCTTTAAAAAGCAAACGGTTCCAAGAAGGAAGAGGGTTACGACTGATAAAAATGAAGCTTTTGTCCTCCAAACAGTAAAAATAACCCACAAACGTCATTACGAAAATTAAAAGATGAAACTAATATTCAATATTAAAAGATGATACCAATATTTCAGTTCCTAAAAGGAAATATTTTTTGTCCATACAAGGTTCATTTAGTGCGTGATTTAACCAGCGCAGATTAAACTTTTTGTCACATTTTCATATTCTTTTGGAAGAAAATCAAAATTTATTAAACCATCGCCGACGGTGGTCTAGTGGTTAGTGCTGCTGACTACAAGCCGGAGGTCGTGGGTTCGAATCCCACCAGGGGTATGGCTGTTTATTTGTGTTTGTCCTATTGTGTATTAGTCCTTCGGAGGGGACTTTAAGCAGGCGGTCCGTTCCTACCCCTAACCCGCACAAGCCATTCAGTTGGCTTATGGGACTTCTTAAGAAGTAAGGGTGGAACTAAAAGAGCACTTTTTTTTTGTATAAATTATGTGGAGTGACGAATCCCGTTGTCACAATAATGGAGTAATTATTAAACATAATTGTCGCTACTGGTCCCAGGAAAATCCTAACTGGATGCGACAGACTAAATTTCAAACACGATTTGGGGTAAATGTTTGGTGCGGTATTGTAAATGGTTACAGTCAGGCTCTATTTGTACCATAAACATTTAACTTCAGTTCGTTATTTACAATTTCTGAAAAACGATCTCCCTTTGCTGTTACAAAATTTAGTAATTGACGTAAATACTATGTGGTTTCAACAAGATGGTGCCCCAGCACACAATAGCAATATGGTTATGAATCATCTAAATGACGTTTCCAGGAAAAGTGATGAGGACAAATAGGCATTTTAGATGGCCAGAAAGGTCCCCTGGTGGACTTTTATTTATGAGGCGTCTTACAAAATTAAGTCTATAAGGAACCAATAGAAGACATGGCTGACCTGATGTATCTCCTGTGGGTTTTCGTCACTCCAAATTCGGCAATTTTGTTTGTTAACGAAGCCAAGTGAGCTTCGTCGCTAAACATTATTTTTCGCCCAAAATAAGAATCAACCTACAATTGCTCTAGGGCCCACTCAGGGCCTAGGTTTTAACTATTTCAACGTGTTGTTAAATAGTGTAGCGTTCCATAATGAAATGTAAAGACTAACTGAATACTCCTACCAAAGATCCCATCGATCCGCCCATCCATAAAGGCATGCGCGTTTGCCAAAGATCGAGCATAGCTATTGGAAAACCCTTTATATATAGCGTTTTAATCCTACTAACGAACTCGTTTAAACGGTTGTGTCGAGTGCTCACTGTTGTGTTTCCAAAGTGTTTTAAGTTAAGTTTGATTTTCATAGTTTTATAATAAAATGGAACAAAAAAATAAAAAAGAATATATTTCCCTATCCCGAAGGCAAAAGCAGAGAATATTTAATGTTTTTAGGCAAATTTAAAGTAATGATGCAAACTCTTGCAGACATCAAATTAACAGTAGCAAGCATTGCAGAAAAAATAATGTTATACAATTATAAAAAACATCAATAATTTTTCCTTTTCCTCTTAAAAACATAGAGAAGCTAAAGTATTTTTAAAAAACATTACTGAAACAAGGAGTAGAGGCTGAATTTGTAAGTATATACAGGGAGTTTTTAACCTGTTTGATAATGTTGATTTATTTTTAAAAATACAAACGACAAATTATATGATATGATATTTGGTAGCCAGAATAAGAGTATACTTTATATCAATTTTTAACTTTCTTCTATTGTTTTTTCAACAGGTAAAGGATACAATAATTTTCCTAAATAACCAATATGGATACTTTTTTATTATGATTGTTTTAACAATTAATTTTATGCAAATTCCATATTTTTAATTTCTTAAGGTTGAAGGGTGCATTGGGCTTGAATTAATAAAATCAAACAAATTATTTGTACCAAATATCATTTATAAAAAACTACATAAAGAAAATTTTTTCCTTGTTTTGAAAACAAAGCGATAAACAAAAATAAAATTAAATTGGATTTTTTTTAAGTTTCAGTATCGCCTCCAATTTTTTTTATATATAAAAAATTGGAGGCGTCTCCGAAAAAGATTCTACCGTAAGAGTTTAAAAAAAAGGCTTTCTAATAATCTGGCAAAAAGATTGCTCTTGGCTAGGCCTACAAAACAACCAAAGAATACAAAATTTAAAATTTATAGAAATATTGAAGGGTAAAAATGTAAATTATGGGATTTTTTATTATATATTTTTTTAAGCTGCTGTTTGTACTTCAACAGAAAAATATTTTGAAAATATTTTTTCCGAATGGTTCCGGCAGGCAAAACAAAGATATGTAAGGGAAACAAAAAACCCACGAAAAGAAGGTATATTTATATATATTTTTAGCTTTTTTAGGAGTTTGGAAAAACATTTTGTTTGTTTTAAGGTAAAATTAAAATTAAAGTGATTTTTTCATATTTTACAATGTTTGATTTAGATTTATTTGGACTGTTTAGGAAGAAGAAATGATTTGTTTTTATTAATTAAAATATTTTTTAATAAACATTTTTAACCAATTTGTTTTCTGTTTTTAAATCTCTTTCAGAACCATTTAGGGCTAAGGAATTTTTAATACCAGTAAGATAATATATTACATGAAATATATACAGTGTGACCCATTTGTTTGCGACTCACCCCTGTAAAATCTTTATTTATTGTGCGATTTTAACCGGATTTGTTTTAAAGTGTAGATCTTGATAAACTGTATTTTTAAAGCAAAAAACGCTATATTTTCACAAAACACAATAACTACTGTCAGTTTTTAAGAATTCATATTAGCGATTTTTTTAAACAAAATTTAAGCACGGCACTGGATTCACCACCCCTCAAAACGACCCTATACTAAATTTTATTGAAAAATTTTAATTAAAAAAATGCACAATAATAACTACAAAAATTTATTTTGTCAAGTTATCTATGAAAAAAACATTGAAATAAAATTAAACTAATAGTAAAATATTACATTACTATAAGTTTTTTTTTGTAGTGATTATTGTGAATTTGTCTACTTAAAATTTTTTTAATAAAATTTAGTAAAGGGTCGTTTTAAGGGGTGGTGAATCCAGTGCCGTGCTTAGATTTTGTTTAAAAAAAATCGCTAATATGAATTCTTAAAAATTTACTTTTAAAAACTGACATAGTAGGCCTTGTATTTGGTACTAATAACTCAAGCAACACACAAAGTAGCTGGTACGTTCCTGGGCCTACAAAAGCGACCATGAAATAGACCGCCACTATCGGCGGCTACGTTGCCGATAGGTAACGGCCACGTAGCTTCTACTAAAATGGGGAAGAATTAAGGGTTACTGGGTAGTATAAAGGGTGGTCCCAGGGACTAAAGTTGCCACTATATTTCGTTACTATAAAGTGAAAAGGTAGTAGCAACCATTATCCTGCTACGTATCGGCCCTACGTGGCCGCCTGGTAACTGCCACTAAACGTTCCTCTAGCGACCTCTACTTTGTAAAAAAGTTTTCAAAGAAATAATAATATGACAGGGCAGTCGCGAAGTCATGGCAGTGTTAAACTTAATAATGGCGTGTTAATGATGATGTTTAATCGCGTATTTTGGGTACTTCCAGGGTTAATATTAGAACGGAACTCACTATACTGACAAATATAACCGGTTTAGATGGAAATATTTTAACGCGCCCTCAAAATAACTTAGTTTCGTAGATATTTACGAAAAAAAAATAATATAAAAAATAATATTTCATAATATACAAAAGTGTTCTAGTTAAAAAAATAAATGCTTAAGGAATTATAAACATTAGGTAAATGAAGAAAAATAGAAAATATACTAACAACAAAATTCCATTAAAAAATCGTGACCGTAAAAATATGGCTGACTTACACTTCGTTACGATAATGTTAGGCCCTTCCCTATAAAGTAGCAGGGACTACCCATTTTTTACTTTAAAAGATCTGCTACTTTCAGTGACTAAGTTGTCACTACAGAAAATTAACTGTGTAGTATCGGTTACTACTTCGGAACTTTTTTATTTTTAAATATTTTTTAAATTTCTACACTATGGTAACTACTGGAAATAAAAAGTTATTTTAAACACCCAAAAAGTCGGACGATCAGGCATTTTGTGACAATATAGTTACATATGTTACTATAAAGTTCCGTCTACCACTGTAGGTAATGCTGAAATCCTAACCTAGGTTAAGCTCAAAAGTCAAATGTATTTTTTTAAGACTACAATTTGATTGTTGCACGTTTTGGCTCTGGTTAAAATTGTTTTCGGATTCGTGCTACCAACCTAAAGGGTAGGTAGCAAATAGGTGTAAGGAATCTGCTATGATTATATCTTCAACCATATCTATTGACAGTTTTATTAATGGAGATTCTTCTTTGTGATGATCTTCATCTAGAGCCCTACAAAAACTTTCATCCGTTGTTAAAGGGCAATCAACTTTTGAGAAACTCATATGCCTTCCATCTTTATCATATTCTCCAGTAACGGTTCATTTTATACAACCATGCTTCGCAGCCTACAGTTCCTACAATAATCGCCAGAATTATAAAATTAAGCAATTAGGATGCAGTGTCTCAGAATTAAATTTTGTTGAAATTTTTTCCAACGGAATATCTCTCACATGCATAATGATACTATAAAACCTAAAATTAGTTTGAGATAGGAATTTACCTTTAATAAAGCTTCGTACTGGAGTGTCGCATACAAAATACCTAATTTTTACTTTTACCCTAATCTGACTAACTTGAATTCCTGTTTCCAAAATCTCATTTAGCTCCATTACAAATTCATGCAAAAATTCTTGTAATGGAGGTTTTGACTCTCCGCAATAAATAGCCACCATCATGGGTTGATCACAAGGATATTCATGAATTTTTTGGAGTATCGGCCAAAATTGTAACACAGAACTATTAAATGGAGGCAAGCCATCAATATTAAAAATTACGGATACCGATTCTAAGTTTTTCTCTTGGAATAAACGAGATAATAAAATCTTCCTTATTCCGTTGTACCAAAATTCTCCATTTCCCATTGGAACAATTGCACAAGATCTCGGTGTACTCAACAAAGTTCTACTATTTCCTGGTAATGATGTTAAGCCTTTATTTTTTAGTAAACAAAGTAAGTCAGTTAAAGCAACGTGGCTAATTTGATGTTTTAAGGCCCAATGCCTTAGTTCCTAAGTGATATTGCTTTCTTCATTCAGCTCTGTTTTTTCTTCGAATTCAGTACTTACTAACTCGACATTCCATTTTACATATTTATATACAAAAATGATCTAAATCGAAAATAAATTTAGATACCTTAATTGTTCTATTAAATTGCAGTCATACTTCTCTAAATTTAATCCAGTAAGCCCCTTATCATCATTAACTTCTCTAAAAAGTTTTACAGAAGAGCTGATAGTAGGTTCAACACTGGTTAATAATAATGTTAGGCATTGTACTTTCCTATAGAAAGTACTTGTGTGTTTAAACTTTTTTTCTGCACTTTAGGCATATTAGGTAATTTATTTGAAACTAACTAACATAAACGAAACAAAAAACACTTTCACTTGATAGTAAGTTGGGCGCAATATGCCCTGTAAATATGTAACAGACAGGTTGGGTACATATATCATCAGCCACTATATAGAAGCATTTTTCAGTTTCTACAACTCTATAGTAGCAAAACGTCAAAAGAGTATAGTACCCGTAACTTTATAGTAACAAACCATACTCGCAGCTACTATTTCAGGACCAACAATATTACCCAAATGCCTCGTAACTTTAAGGCCCACGATATAGAATACTGGGACTATTCTGTGACTAAGCATGGAACTATATAGTAACAAATAATTAATTTACCCATTTTAGTAGAACAAGCTGGGAGCCGTTTCGTATTTATCGCCACTATTTAGTTTTCGCCACTTGATGGTAACAATGAAAGAATATCCCTAGTCCCAGTTACTAGACGTAACAACCCATTTGCTACTTTAATTTTGGGTGTTCAAACTCCAAATGACTAGTAGCAGAGTGGTAAAAGAGATTATCCAAAAATCCTTTGGAGTGGCATTACCTAATATAGTGACAAATTAGGTAACAGGGTGTACCCAGGAACTGTTGGTGGCGAGTCTAAAACCAAAAGGATCTGGAACTATCTGTGTTACTTGGGAAGGCGTTCCTTGCTCCAAAAATACAGTTTATCAAGATCTACACTTTAAAACAAATCCAGTTAAAATCGCACAATAAATAAAGATTTTACAGGGGTGAGTTGCAAACAAATGGGTCACACTATATATGAATATTTCATAAATAATAAGTAAATATATCATAAATAATAAGTAAATATTGCATAAATAATAAGTAAATAGAATGCAACATTTATGTAAATGGAGAATAATTGTTTTATCACGTTTACTTAACTATGGTATGGCGCTGTTACATTACAGTTACATAATTACTAATACATAACTATGATAAAACACTGTTAAAGCGGACATATGAGCATTGCCATTACATATAGGTGACATAACTGTTGCATAGTAAGGAACAATTTTTATGTAAATGTTATATCACTGTGACATGATTTGGTTTGCTGGGTAGAGGGTAAAAACTGGCATTTACAGAATTTAAATGTCACTTTTAGTTTTCGAAATAATTGGCCTGACCTGAAACACCTGGCCTGGCCTGAAACACCCTATATGTATATGCATATGTGGTGTTGTGGTCGTCGGAAAAATAGCGTTCTTAACTCGCTAGAAAGTGTTTTCGGTGCTCGAAGAATTATTGCACTTAACAAAATTTCCTACCCGACTGAAATCGCTTTACTATCTCGTTGAGAATTATATAATATAATCTTTACCTGAGACTTTCACATTTAAAATATCTTTTATTTTTTCCAAATTATGCATAAATATATTGGTATCCACAACAATACAAACATTATGATCCTTGTTTGTTTTCCCTTGGAACATTTTCTTGGAGCTTATCTAAAATAATAAAACAATTTACACATTAAAAAGTGTTTAATTTTTAAACTGCTTTAGTTACCCTTAACATACAAAATTAATAAAATGTAGAATAGTTTTAAAAAAGATTATGATATACAGGGTGAATGTGATTATAATATAAATAGCAATATGGAGTTTTTAGGTTGAAGATACAAAAATTAGGTTATTTAAAATTAATCCCAACTCAAAAAATCACATTAATCAGTTAGATTGTTAGAATCAAGAAATTGAAATAGTCATTTCAAATAAAAACACCAAATGGAGTGCGCCGTGATATCCTGAGTGCATACACATGCTTCATCACAGTGATATCATGTAGAACTCACGGTGTGATATTTGCAAAATTTGCGCATGCGTATGAGCCCTGCGAACTGCGAATTTAAAACCTAGTTTGTTGTTCACATTACACCGTTAAAATTTATAAAACGTTGTTTGAATATCACGAATGTTGTCCGGGTTCAATTAAAAAAGATATTCCAATGTTTAAGAATACGTGAACGTTTTGATAAACATTGGAATATCTTTTTTAATTGAACCCGGACAACATTCTTGATATTCATACGAACATCATGTCGTGATTTTCACAAATTTTATTCATACGGACATCATCCGGATGTCACTGCGTGAGAAATAAAAATCATGTCGTGATTTTTTATGCCATCACTGTTTGCGATTGACCGATGGCCTAAAAAATCACGACATGATTTTTTATGCTATCGGTGTTTGGGCATAAAAAATCACGACATGATTGTTTATGCCATCGGTGAACCGACATGTTTGGATATTTATTTTTGCGCCACATTCGTATATTAAAAGAAAAAGTATGTTAACAATTGACGCGTTTCTCGGAAAAACATCATTAGTCCAAAATTAACATATTTGGGAAAATGAAAAAAACTCTCAGACATTCCCATTTTTGACCAAAATAATTTATTGGCCTACATGTAACAAATGTAAGATACTTTGTCCAGTATTCCTCATGTTTGTATTTTCAAACGAATATGAAAAAAACACAAAAAATACATGAACATGTGAGGTTTTTAGAAGAAAAAAACACTACAAACTAAATACTAACTCTGAGTAACAAAATAAATGAAAAAACTAAAAACTGTATTACTGCCACACTCAGTCTTCGCATCCACTGCTGTTATCATCGTTGTCGACCGTGTTATCAGGACTGTCAGGTGCTATGGTCTTCTGGTCTTTTATCAAGTTATCATAAAATTTTCTATTGCTGTGGTAATGTAAAAGAGGTAGAAGCTTTTCTAGAGTGTCCAAAAACGTCACATGTTGTGTACATGTGACTTTCTTAGACGAAACGGAGTGGACTTGTGTTTTTAGAAGAACAAGCTAAATTTCATATTTAATTATTATGGAACCTATGACATTTTTACGAGAAACACTTATTTGTATACGTATATATGGAGGTTAGGAAACAGTTGGTGCTAATATCTAAATTTCGACGATATTGGACTAATGATGTTTTTCCGAGAAACGCCTCAATTGAATTACCAGTTTTTGCGGTCAAATACATTAAATATTTTCTTGGATGTAAATTAACTAATAATTTTAATCCAAGAAAATATTGAATGTATTTAACCGCAAAAACTGTTGATTCAACATAATTTTTCTCTTAGTGTACGAACGTAGCGCAAAAATGATTATCCAAACACCGTTGGCATAAAAAGTCACGACATGATTTTTTGTGCCATCGGTCAATTGCAAACAGCGATGGCATAAAAAATCACGACATGATTTTCATTTCTCACCCAGTGACATCCGGATGATGTCCATATACGTTCGTATGATTTTCATTTATCACGCGGTGACTTCCGTATGATATCAGTATGAATAAAATTTGTGAAAATCACGACATGATGTTCGTATGAATATCACGAATGTTGTCCGGGTTTTTTCTGTGACAAATATTGAAATGATTTTAATTTTGTTTTACTGTCCAATATATTATTAATAAGTGTGTTTTCGGTATAAATTATTATTATCTAATTGGTTCATCTAAAAAAAGAATGGTAAACCGCTAAAAATTCATAATAATTTGCCAATTTTTGTGATTTTTGGCTGGCTCCTGTGCCTATCCTAGTAAATATAGGAAGTTAATTTTTTTTCAGGTATTAAGTACTTATACAATTGAAAACGTAACGATTATTTTAAGTTTCTAGACTATCATTTTCTTTATTAAAAAATTTATTAAAACTAAATTTTTCTTAAAATTAGACAGTTTTGCCCTCAGTAATCATTGTAGAGGAAAAAATAAAAATCTGAAACTTAGTTAGTCTTGTTTTGTTATTTTTATCTAAAATTTAAAATTTAGATGGGTTTGACTTTGTCAATTCATGTTTAGTGGAGTAGTGTCAGAACTCAAAAATATTTCATAAATATTATTTTTGCGTATTTCTCTGGTGAATTTTGTATACAGGGTGTGAAAAACAATGTTGCAGATACTAAATTTTAAATTTTAGATAACAAAACAAGACTAACTAAAAGTTTCAAATTTTTATTTTTTCCTCCACAATGATATTCTAATAATACCTAGTAACACATTTTTTTTTCAAACAAATATTATAGGTAAATTAGCTAAAACCTTTCAGTGTTTAAAATGTTCTATAAAATTGTTAAAGAGAAGGTTATTTTGAGTATAATAAAAATAATACTTTTTTTTTTGGCAAGTAGTTTAACAGTTTTTTAAACATAACTTGAAAATTAAAAAAAATATAGGTACCTATATAAAAATTTTTTGTTCCTGCTTACAATTTTACTTTAGCATTCATTGTTTTGTATGCATTAGTCTTTTTTAATGTTTTTTTTATTTCAAATTCGTTGAGAAGTTAAATGATACAAGTAAAATGATACAAAAGGTGATAATTTAACCAAATTCAATCTAATGGAAAAAAAATTTAAAAAAACTGACTGCAAAATGACTGCTGGTTTCGCGGTGAAACCACTTAATTAAATATTATTTTCTAGCATAGTTTTTGCTTTAAAGAGATATACCATTGTTATTCACAATTTCTTATTTAAAGACAACTAGGAAAAACTAATTACCTCACTAGTCCATTCCATCTCTGCCATATCACAAGTTACAGTATCCAAATTGGCAACTGTATCATTGGCCCTTGCTTGTGTAGAAACTTCCATGAATGATGAAGAATCCCCATCAAAATTAGTATAAGCAATCCATCCATTAGTAAATCCGTTTTTATCAATTTTATTTTCTAGCTTAACTGGACTCATGATATTTTCAGTTTCCATTTCATTATTCAGCATTACAGGCATATGATTGGGTTTAACCAGGGAATTTGTTAAATCAATTATACTCTGATCATGGACCCTAGATTTTAAATTAAACACTCCTGGAGCTTCTAGATTTTTGGATGTGGTAGCATTGGAATTATTATTTACCTTTAACCTGTCTGCTAGAGTTTTTGGTTTAGATTCATGAGTATGATTTGATTGAGAAATATTGTTGGTTTTCACATTTGAATTTAAAAGTAAACATTCTGTTTTGCTTTTAGCTGTTATACTTTTAGATGCTGAATTACGAATATCTTTTAATCTATCTGGACTCATGATATTTTCAGTTTCCATTTCATTATTCAGCATTACAGGCATATGATTGGGTTTAACCGGGGAATTTGTTAAATCAATTATACTCTGATCATGGACCCTAGATTTTAAATTAAACACTCCTGGAGCTTCTAGATTTTTGGATGTGGTAGCATTGGAATTATTATTTACCTTTAACCTGTCTACTAGAGTTTTTGGTTTAGATTCATGAGTATGATTTGATTGAGAAATATTGTTGGTTTTCACATTTGAATTTAAAAGTAAACATTCTGTTTTGCTTTTAGATGTTATACTTTTAGATGCTGAATTACGAATATCTTTTAATCTATCTGATGCAGATTTTTGTGGTGTTTTATTTTTTATGATGAATACTTCTCTTTGAACTGTTTCAACTTTTTTGTTAATCTGACTAGTAGTTTCCTTTTTATTATTATTGCTGTGGTTGGTTGGATTATCAGGTTTCTTAAGTTCTAAACTTTTTCGTAGCTGTACCATTCGATTTGATGCAATATTCTTTTTATTTGTAGTTTCTGAAGTTTCTAAATGTTTGGTTTTAATATAAGTACTTTTACATGGTTGTGGTTTGTCAGTCTTATTCTCATTAACTACTTTATTGGAAGAACAACTTGATCTTGGCAATTCTTCATAAGGTTTGTACCTTTTTGCATTTGTATGATTATTATACCTATCATGGGGCCTCTTTACACCTTGTCTATGTTCCCGAAAACCATACTTGTAATAGTTATTATTGTAATTATTGTATTCATTATAATGTTGCCTTCTGTCTTGGTTAAATCGATTTCTTGATGCTTGTAGTTTAGGTCTTTCGTTGTAAGACATTTTATTTCAATATTTATAAAAATGCTATTTTTAAAATAGGTAAGACATACTGTCAAAACAAAATTACTTTCTTAAATAAATGACCATAGCCAACCTTTACAATCTGACAGATTGAATCTGTGATAGCCAACATTTCAAACTTAAAAATCCCAATTTTTGCGTTTTCTACGGTGTTGCCAAGAAGAGGCAGCGGTAGAGGTATAGCTGGCAAGTAGTTTAACAGTTTTTTAAACATAACTTGAAAATTAAAAAAAATATAGGTACCTATATAAAAATTTTTTGTTCCTGCTTACAATTTTACTTTAGCATTCATTGTTTTGTATGCATTAGTCTTTTTTAATGTTTTTTTTATTTCAAATTCGTTGAGAAGTTAAATGATACAAGTAAAATAGCCGGTGTTCTTTGGGTAGCCGTATCCACAGAAATATTTCTGTGGCCGTATCCCTAAACCGTATCACTTTCTGCCAGTGTTGCCAATGAACATTTGTTGGATTGCACAGTGAACTGCTCCAAAACGCACGGTTTTGCACGGTCCCCGGCAAAATGCACAAGTTTCGCAGGTAGTATATTTTGTTTATATGTTATAAAAGTACTTTTTTTTTTATTTTTAGGCATTTTCATAGAAATATTGTTGCATTTCAAATTTAAGCCTGAGATAAATTGATTTCCTTCCTCCCTTTCTCCCGTAAAACGAAAACCGTAGTGCTGTTTATACATAAGGGTACGGGAATCTATAACCAGCACTACGCTTTTTGTATTGTTCATCTTTTACGGGAGGAAGGGATGAAGGAAGGAAGGAAGGCAATCTATAAATCAGGCTTTAATGTTTGCATATTCTTTATGTTTTACGGTCTGGTAAAAGAAATAAATGCACCTAAGATCTAGGTCTTTGGAAAGCAGTGCTTTTAAAGCAGTATAAAAAGCAACAGTTTTTTATTAAATTTAAAAAATGTTTGGTATTATCTTTGGGTATATAGATTAAAAAAGAAATGTTTTTAAAAATGTTTTATAAAAACTATAGTTTATTACATATTTATAGTTATTACGTATTTCAACTCATATGTATAATAATAAAAATATGGTAACTAACCTATACCTATATATATGTACACCAAAAACCTATACCTATACCTATATATATCCACACCAAAAACGCCCACCACCAGGGCTGCCAATTTGTGAGTAATTACTCACATTTGTGAGTATTTTTATGGTTTGTGAGTAATTTTGTGAGTAATGTGCAATTGTGAGTAAAATGTGAGTAATCGAGGATCAACTTTTAATATCTGTACCTCCGTCTGTATACAGAAATTATTATTTATTTATATTTCTAATAAGGTAAATTTTTTTGAAACTTTAATGTTCCAAAACATTTTAATATACCTACAGTGGTACCTATTCAATAAAAAAGCGTACAAGAATTAGAATGAGAGAAAACTGTCAAAATAATATTATTGCTTAAAACCGGCTTATCACTGACATATGACTTATATAAGTCATTAAAATAATTATTAAAGGTAATAAAGAGCATTAGTCGTTTTTTCGCGTAAATACTATGTAATACTACGGTTAAATAAGTCATGACGTCACAGTTAATTCATATAACCATGGTTAGGTTTCTAACATTTGACATTTGTTTACTTATTCATAACCTATAATTTTTTAAATGTGTTTTTACCTATTTATATTTAATTTCTATGCTTTTACCGGTGTAAATAAATTTCTTTGCCTCTTCTTATACCTAGTATATTCTTTTTCTATAGGTACTAGTTTTTTCAATACACGTTATCCAATTCTCCTACATGTTTAATACAAAATAAGGAAGAATATAAAAGAAACCTGCATATAATTCCTCCACTTGTGGATATTCCACAATATGGAGCACCCTATCATTTATTTTTACTGACAACACCCCGTTTTCCATTTTAATACAAAGTTTAAATTCGGTTTACCTACTTAAAATATTTTAAATTTCAAATGTAAACAACTTTTTGACAGATCGAAACAGAGAAAAATATATATTAAAAAGAGAAAGACTATTAACCACGTTGAATAACTAGCTCAGCGATATAGTTTTATGGTTTGGTATTTGTGACGTCATAGTTAGGATTTTTGAACGCACTCTAAACGCAAAAATGCCTTAACTATTAACCAAGGTTAAGTTTAATAACCATAGTATTTCATGGTATTTACGCGAAAAAACGACTATTGACGTCGTAGGTTAATTAAATAATATTACAAAAATTATTACCTTTTAATAATGAAAAAAACAAACATTAAAAAAAATTTAATATTTAGTCATGCATCCCTGTTTTTCTATTACTTGAGCCAATCTATTTGGGATGAACTAAATTAAATTTAATACAATATTTGGATTAATATCTTCCCAGCAGTATAGTAGGTATAGTATAGTTGTATAGTTTCCCATAAATCCTCAGATATCTCAAAAAAGCAGCATCCTGTTCAGGGGTAGACATTTTGGGACGACCTGAACCAACTTTTTGGTTTAGTAAATCTTCCTGTTCCCAGAGTTGCTTAATTTTTAATATAGATTTTTTATTTCTATTATACCACAGTACGAATTGACCATTCTTCTTCGATTCTTGATACTATTTGAGCCTTTTTAACTGACGAGGCATTTTTATTTTCTACTGTCAGTTATAGTGACTTAAGCCGGGTCTACAATTGTCGCAGATCGCAGATCGCAGAACTTAAGCTTGCGCAAAGCACCCAGCTGACAAAAGAACCTTTCTCCATCGCCACGTCGCGGAGTGCTGTGCGCAAGCTTATGTTCTGCGATCGGACCTCTGCGACAATTGTAGACCCAACTTTAAGTCAGTGGAAAGCCGGTTTTACGCAATAATGTTGACAGTTTTCTCTCATTCTAATTCTTGTACGCTTTTTTAATGAATACAACTGTACCTCCCCAGGTAACCAAACGTAACGAAAAAGTGACAGAAATTGTATGTATGTTTTCTTTATCGTCACGTGTATAATCGTCGAAACTATATCAATTTTAAACTCAAATTTTTCACAAAACCGCTCACCTGCCGTTATAACGTGATCGTCACGTTAGCGTTATCGTGATTTTAAACCGAATCGACATAACGTTTACGTGACGCTGTAATCGTTACTAAATCAACACGAAAATACAGTTATATTCGATTTTGAATTTGTGACCGTATCTTTAACCAGTGGCGGCTGGTGGATTTTTGGTATATATACCGGTATACCAATATCTCAGTTATTATACATAGGACCCAAACCAAACTTTTATGAGTTTATAAGGTAAACGTCCCAATTATCGACACCTTAAGCGATTTTTCTAAATCATATCGTTATAAAAATTTGCATATTAAAGTTACACGTTTAACAATTTTACTGTGGATTGTTATAATATTGATTATTGCTTTGCAATGTTTATTTTTTAAATAGCAATGCGTAATTTATATGCAAAAAATAAATTTGTTGAAAAGTACCATTTGACCCAGTTATCGACATGGGAAAATTTGTCTTGAACCAAATATCGACACCCTTGCGTACGTAATATCGACACTCGGAAAAGTCGATTTAAATGGTTATAATAAGTAACAAAGAGTTTATCATAAAAGTTTATTTATTATAAAATTTAAGCAGTATTTATTGCAAACAAAAATGTTTGACGATAAAGGTATTTTAAACACTGAATCACAAATCTCCAGTACGCAGTAAAGTCCGCGTTTTTTTTGTTCCTTAATTTTTTAAGGACCTCTTCTCTATCATACCAAAGAATATTATCCCTTTGTCCCATATGTCCCATATGGGCCATATCCCATATCCAATTGAGCCCATTTTTCTCCATATGTAAGACTTGGTAATCAAACTCATAATTTTCTTTACAATGATATGTCAATAATTTTACCTGGTATATAGTGATTGATCGTTATAATTCACTATAACATAATCGTTTACAAATAACTTTTCTTAAGTCATGTTTGTAAATGTTTTTTTCCCCATTTTTCACTATTTTCAATAATGTTCATTTTAAAACATTCTTTCTGAAAAAAAATAGGTTGAACCAGTTATCGACATTTTTGGTACCAAATATCGACATATAAATTACATCCACTCCACAGACTTTGATCCACTCTAACGATGTTACCAATGGAAAAAATGGGTGTCGATAATTGGTACAGCGGTAGTTTAATATAATGTCCTTTAAACTCTTCAGACAGAGTAAGAATAAGTTTGATAGACATTTAAATATTCATAAGAAAAGAGAAAGCTACATAGTACCATTTATCGACACCTATGTCGATAAATCGTACAAAGCCTAAAAATGGATGTACCTTTTATCGACACCACATAATTTTACGTTTATACTGATTCTATGCCAAATTATTGGCAAAAACCATACATTATAGATTCTGTATATAAATATACAACTATCTACATAAAGAAACTTAAATATTTTAAACTAAAATTGCCATAATTAACTTACCTGTTTCTTAACACTTTTCTTAAGGATTTGAACAAGTTCACAGATGACTGCGGAATGGCGGGATTAAAATATTTTTTCAATTAATATTTTCTGCATAACCGACCGAAACTTTTTAGGAAAGGTAGGGAAAACCTACTTGTTTCTTATTTTAATATGACAATAGATGTCCAAAGCATCAAATTCTTATTTTTAAATGTTTAGTGCACAAATGTCGATGATTGGGACAGTGTCGATAATTGGGACGTTTACCTTAATAATATTAAATTGAAGTTTGCGAAAAAAGTAATTTTTTTCAGCCCAGTCCCCTGCCCCCGTAATTAATATAATGCAAATTAATAACTGTGCAGTTTATCGACAAATTTCAAAATTTATTTCAAATTCCAAGTAGATTTTATACCATTTAAACTTTTTTTTATCCTAAAATAAAATTTAAAAAATGGTATAATATTTGTAATCTTGGATTTTTTTAATAAATTTTGAAATTTTTTATAAACTATAGTGAGTTATTAATTGCACCACCTTAATTTGAATCATCTTAATTAGGGGGGCACGCTGAAAAACTTAATTTTTTCGCAACAATTTTTAATTTTA